GACTAGCCAATCCCTACTGCAGACGCCTGCTCAGGCACATTTTATGTTTGTTTAACACCCATAGAGCCAATCTGCAACTAGGTGATAGCGCATTATCTAGCGTCAACTGACTTACAGTAATGCCTGAAATCCCATTAGTTATTTTAGCTCTACTTAAAACTAGGTACATTAAACTCTATAACATTTTCTACAGATTATTTCTATCGCAAATACAAATAAAGTTATAATTTTTTTTTTTAGTGTACATTTGAACTTTATGGACAAATTTGTATATTTATTCTTTGAATGTATCAAAAAATGTTTTGAAATATTTTTCGTTTGAGGAATTATATATGACGTAATATAGCAAGAATTCTAAAAAAATCTTAATAAGTTTTTTTATTTGAAAATCAGTTTTAGCGCTGAAAAAATGTTTTTTTTTTGTATTATATGGTTAAACAACTATCACGGTTTAATTCTTGATATGGACTTGGATTGAGGAATATATTTTTAAAGTCGTTAATAATTTTCAATGATAAAGGTATGAACCCTCTTCTTCTCCCCTGATTTATTTATTTAAAAAAACAAAACAATTTATTATAATTTAATAAAAAGGAATATGAGGAGTAATGGATAGCCGTTCGTATAAAAAAAGTTTTTTTAATTAACGGATGCCGTTTTATAAAGTCCAGTCGAATCCATTACATTCACTTATAATTATATAATAATTGGGAAAAAATTTATAATCCTATTCTTCTCTCCCCTAATAAATAGCAGGACAGATCGGGTTTTTTTTAAATTGATGGCAATTGGTCTACCAAAGAAAAGAAAATTCTACCTACAATAAAAAAAATCTTTATCAGTCCTGTATCGCCTGAGCGTATTATCATGTCATGTAATATATATTTATCGCCTGATCGTGTATTTATGGCAAACAAAACTGACCAATTTTGTCTCCTGAGTTATTTTTTTAATATATGTAAAACTATATGGCCTGATAAATCCATCAAAAAAATATAACAATGACTGAATATCAATATATAGGTGTATTTTTCATATAACTAACTTGTATCGCCTAAGCGTGGATGCATAATGGCTTATAGTTGTATGTATTATTGTAATTTTTTATCATGAAAATCTTTATTATTAAATTGTTTCATGGCATATTTTTTTTAAATTTAATTGCGTGTATCATGGCGTTTTCAACTGAAAAAATCGCCTGACCTTTGTATCAATTAAAATAATATAATATTTATTTTGATACCTTGAGCTTGTATCCTGTCATGGAACTGACTGTATCTGCCTGAATTTTGTATCATGGAATATAAAATAAAGAAGGAAGGACAGCGCTAATTAATGGAGCGTATAACTGGTGTATCGCCTTTTTGGTGTTTTTTTTATATAACTGATTTTTATCACCTGAAAAATGTATCAATGTCTTATAAATTTTTTTATTTAGTGAAATGTATCATGTCAAGCACTAAATATTTTTAATGAAAATTTATGGTTTAAATTTGATATAACTTCTTATAAACACGTTTAATTATCATGGCGTATAACTAAATGGTAAAAATACCGTTTATTTTTATTTTATTAACTTAAAAATTACCTGAAAATTATCATGTTTTTATTTAAATATTAACTTTTATTTGAAATTTTTGAATATTTAAATATAACTGAAATTATAAACGATAAAAATAATATATATAACATAATATAAATATATATATATATATAACTGACTGTATCACCTGAAAATATAAATATATTTTGTCTTAAATAAAAAAAAAAATTAAATGAAATATATATTGTTTTTTTTTTATGTAAAATATGTTGATATTGTATGTAAATTTTAAATAAATATTTGTATCATATTTATAAATAATTGTATCACCTCAGCGTGTATCATGGCGTATAACTGACTGTATCGCCTGAGAGGATGTATCAAAATATAAAACTGACTGTATTTTGATAAAAAGCGTGTATCATGTCTTATAACTGATGTATTATTACCTTATTTTGATTAATGTCTTATAACTGACTGTATCGCCTGAGCTTGTATCATGGCATATAACTGACTGTATCGCCTGAGCGTGTATAATGGTATATAACTGACTGTATCGCCTGAGCGTGTATAATGGTATATAACTGACTGTATCGACTGAGCGTGTATCATGTCTTATAACTGACTTTGTTAGATAAAACAAGCGAGAATTTTAGATGAGATGGACCTATTTTATTTTTTGCAAATTGTCCTCCATAAATTTTCTTTTTAATATGGGAAAAAAAGGATACAAATGATCATAAATTCTTATAAAGTTTTTTTGAGCGTCGAGTTGGCTCGATCTTTTCAGGTCTTTCTTTTGTTTCTTTCTCAAGTTCTGAGTTTGGTCGATTCAACCTGTCATGCTTTCTCCTATATGGACGGTTCGTCTTCTGAATCAAAAGTGTCAGTAATAGAATGACCCCGTGTTTGAGGGCACATGGCATCTCGTAACGAGTAGATGAGCGACCATTTCAT